CGCGGTACACGCATACAATTTTCTCTCTTTTCTTCATTCGGGACAACGTACACGCTATGCTGTCCGAATGAAAGGAAGAAGAGGCCGCGAAAAAAAAAAAATATCGCTGACAGTCGGACAATAGCAAAAGAAGCGTAATTCCATTTGGCGCCATTCCCACTACTATCTCCCTCTCTCTCTCTCTCTCTCTCTCTCTCTCTCTCTCTCTCTCTCTCTCTCTCTCTCTCTGCTGACCCAAAATCATCCTCTAAAAGCCAGAGCACAGCAGCCACTATGCACTGCGGCTGATTGCGATCTCTCGCGAGTCTCGATATTTCTCAATAAACGTGACATGCTGAAATATTTCAAACTCCATATAATACCTGTCAGCGATCTATCGATTCTCTCTTTCCCTCTCTTTCCTTTCGTAAGTGATCGTTCCTATCTCCCGCTATACGAGGACTTTACCGCGAAACGTTTAATTGAAATTGCGCATTTCCCGCGGCAAGTGTGTGTGTGTGTGTGTGTGTGTGTGTATAAAACTCCGCCGGATGTATCGTGGAAAAGACACGTGATCTACCGACTGTCGTCTTTTACTAACTCATCGGAAAATTGATGCCAAGAGGGAAAACACAAACCTTCTGACGGCATTTTTCGTTTCTTTGCTCTCCGAGTGATGTTGACTATTTTTACTCTTTCTTGAGGCTGATTGCTAGGTAGCTATAATTGCATAGTCTATTATTTCATTATCGCTTATTACGAACAATTTTATATATCTATTGAATAACTATTTTCTTGGAATTCAAGCGACAGCTTGCATTTTAGGAGAAAGGTATTATTTCTAATATCTTGCCTTTTTCTCATTTGCATAATGTAAATTTTCAATCGATGGAGCACCTCTACGAAACTTTTTAACCGATCGCAGATTATCGCACACGCACAAAAATGTAACGAATATTTCTGTGCAAAACCTTGATTGACAAATAACAAACTGTCCAATCAAAAAATACAAACTCACTGGCACAAAGAAATTCAATACTCCCCGGCGAAAAAAAAAACTTGTTTGAATTACCATTTTTTTTTAATATACTATAGCGTAACCTATATTCTCCAGAGTACATAGAGTATATGGTATGGAAACCACAACGCTGAAAGCCCCCGACGAAAAAAAAAAAAGAAATTGACATATTTTTTTTTTCAGCGTAAAAAAAATCAACGTATAACCCATGCACGCGCCCCTCCTCTCGATACGTATCGCACACCGAGATTTTATCAATATACGGCGTATGTGCGTACACGTGCGAGTACAACCAAAAAGTTCTCTTTAGCCTCAATGAGTCATCGGGATTTAATCGATATACAATGCAACTCATTCTCAATATACATTTGATATCCATTATTATCGTCTCTCGTTGCGTATGCGTACGTGTTCGATATGGAGGCACACGCACCATTTGCCGATAGATGCGATTAGACGCAAATCACTGTACCTTATATGATTGTTGACTGGCGAGAGAGCTATTTACTGTGACAATGTTGATGCATAGGATTCGGGGATATAATTGATAAGCGGCTCTAATGTGTTATCGCTTCCATATCTTCATTCGTTTCCTGTGAAATTATACTTCTATAATTACTTTGATTGATGAAAAAACCATACATCATTCATCGAATAAAATAAAGGAAAATGAAAATTATACCACATTATCCGACCACGCGGCGAAAAAAATTGAACGTATATTCGCAAACGGAAGCAATCTTTACCAAACAATTAGCGTTTGAATCGTGTATCGCGTTCATGTACGCGCGGTAACCGAGAAACAACTCGAATGGAAAATGCACGCTTCCGATCGTTTCCTCAATAAAATGCTTTTAATAATCCGGCGCGTGTGCGAACGGAAAAGCGCGCGGCGAGCGGAAAGAGAGAGAGAGAGAGAGAGAGAGAGAGAGAGAGAGAGAGAGAGAGATGGACAGGCGAAAGCCAGAGCAAAGAAGTGAAGCAGATGCGAAACGAGGGAGAGAAAAAGGGCTGACTCGCGCTTCATCGATTCTAACGATATCGCGAGCGACCGGTCCGCCTCTCTTATGTGCATTATGAACTATGATATGTTGATACGAGCCGGCGAAGGTTCGTGCGTAGGTTTTACGAGAGGATTGAAGTCAATTGTGACGCTAAAGAGGCTTGGATTCGGCTAATACGCCTGTAGGCGATCGATCCCAGTGATAAAATAAATTACGATGGATTTTCGCCAGATCACGATTGACCGGTCGATAGCAGCACTTTGCTTTGTCGCGCGGTTCCGTTTCAGATTTTACGTAACGCGCCGCCTTCCGTCGATACACGTCAACCGTGTATTGGTAAATGCGTCTGGCGGGCGCAGCTCGTTCTATTCATTTTCAGATTGAATGGCGAAAATATTGAGTGTATTTGGTAATACTGCAACTATTAGCTGACATCGATACGTCTTTTCGATGCCTTTTACAGGCTACATACCGTTAATAGAAAAAAAGTACTATGCAATAGACACGAAGTAACTATTTAATTGATTTGTAAACAAGGTGGCATTTAGCATGTAAATCGCACGGTAACAATCGCGCAATAAAACAAGCAGAAGCGCGGCAATGCAAATCCCCGGCAAGTAATAAAACAGTATAAATGCAGCGATCGCTCGGGGAAGATATACTCGTGGAGGGGCACTTTAATCGGCGCGTTCTGGAATTGATTGAAATCGGTGGGTAATGAACGCCGCGACGCACTAAATCACTGCTGCGCGGCCGGTCGTCGGTTTGTTTTGCCACGACTCGATTCCGGTTTCCTAAGACGAGTTTCTGTATGAGCTTTCAACGCGCCGGAAAGGAAGATTTATATACGTCGCTCACTCCAGAACGTTGGTTTTTGCTGCGCAATGGTTTATGTATCAATATCCAATTGGCGCCGAACGAGATGTATATGTAATTATTTGTAAGTTTCCAGGGTCCATTGGCATTATCGCAAATCATAGAGCGATCGAACATTTATTCGATCACGTTTATGTCCGCGTGCGCAGACTTTTGACTGAACTGGTGCATTAAATCTGGCATGCGCACACTCAGCTCGCGTGATGTTTGTTTTCCATCTTGGAGTTTCGAGTTATCATCCTGTTTCTCATCTGCAATTACATCAATCCACGCACCAGTTTTCCACCTACATTTTTCATTTGGTTGATTGCAAGTTATTGTTTTTGCCGTACGGTCGTCTGCATATATAACAATCGACGCCACATTCCAATAACTAGCCTTACTTATTACGCGCGAATGAGCAAATAACGAACAGTGAATGACTGCATTTTTTTTTCTCGGTGTGTAAAATTCGATTCCGCAACACTTCGAGTCAAACATCTCGCAAAAACATCAGATCTACACGAGTAAAATATCTTCCTCAAAGATCACGCCGCAGTTTTTCAACGGATGCAGCCTCGTCGGACTGGTCCCATAATAAACATCAGCCGCGGTATTTACTCTCCTTCGAAAATGCAAAAGAAATCGCGTCGGCATACGTACATGAATCCCACACTCGAAACTTAATAAGCCGCGCATTCGACACGGACGTGCCTGCGTTTTTCTTTCTATCATACGCTTTTTGCGAGTATATTTCGATCGGCCGTTAACGAATCCGCGAAGAATAACAAAAAGAAGAAAGATATTTCTCTCTTTCAGCACGACGATTCAGCTCTTCTTTTTGCCGATATATAATAATACCGCCGAGACTGCGGCGCGCCACGAAAGAGAAAGAGGGAGAGAAAGAGAGCCGTTCATATGATGAAAATGGAATCGGGTGAAAAAGCGCATTCGCGGATATCGCTGACGTTGGCTTAATTGACATTGAAATGCACTGGATTTCGCTGGATCACTGGATTTTTAAATGCTAATGAGCCTATCTTTATTTCGCTCGCTGTGTTCATGGAAATTGCACATTGAAATGTTATCGTTGTTTCGATATAGCACAGCTTTATTTTTCTGCTCTTGGACACCATTTGACATTTGAATGTTATAAAGATGTGTCTCTAAATTTATTTTAAAAGATATCTGAATTTCATCATCATATGTCATGAGGTTATCGGCTCTTTTCTCCAACTTTCAATTTGACTTTTCAAAGATTAAAGTTTTTGAGTGACTGACACATCAGATTTCTAATCACTTTACACTATTTCATTCTTTTTTCCTTTTTTTTAGTAGTAACGTAATCCTCATCTACGCCTAAAAAGAATGCCTCAAAATTTTATATAATCCAACGATTATCTGTTTTCTCATTTCTGTGTCCATTTTTGAGAAACTCACAAGTTTAAAAGCATCGACATTGAATTAACCATTTAGTTCCAAAAATATATTGAAAAATCTAAAGTGCACGTAGCCCATGGTTAAGGCGTGAAAGATTTGAGGGAATAATGATAGTAGGTCAGCGACCTCTACGCTACAAGGTTGAAATATCAAAGTATGACGAGATTCAACAAACATTGTAGCGCACGTACTTTCCAGTGAGTACAAGCAAACTGTCGTCGTCATTACGGCGATAAAGTAAGAACAACTAAGAAACGTATTTCCTTGGAAACTAGGTAATCAGCCGTACATAGAGCGCAGCAGCGATTAGAATGTTTATTCTGTCAATATCCGTCAAGGATTACTCAGCGACGACGAGAGATACTGGAGCAAAACAATGACCTGGGTAACATGATACATATTACATATCTTTTACAGTAAAACAAAGTCGAAGGTGCGTGCCACGATAGCGGCCTATTAACGCATCATCGTAATACCTCGCAGCGTAATAGGGACTGCATAATCGCTACAATTATACACCTTTTACCAGCTCTATAAATAGCCTCGCTCTCTCACGCGTACGTGTGCGGTGCATTTATAGTGCCAACGAACCTTTTTCAGTTCAATAAACCTGGAACGTTCTTGTAAACCGTCAATAAAAACGAGAAATTTCGTCAAATAACTCGCTCTCGCCGGGGATCCCCTCCCCCACAAAAAAAACTCACCACTTGCTGTAGCTGGTTGCTGTTTTAACTCGTCGACTGCTCGCACTTTTGCTTCACACTTTTGCACTTCTATTACTGTGAAGTTTCGCTTGAATAATGCGTCTTTTTCTGTGCTTACGAGGATGGAGGAACGACAATCGAACTTACGATGGGTAGTTTTTTACTTGTCTCTCTTAAAGATCTGAGAATTCCAGGATGGCTTGCGCAACTGGATTTTTAATTGATCGTTCGCGAACTGAACGTCCAAAAAATCAGCATTACCATGTATCGAGTGGCCCGTTGAGACTCATGGCGGATGGTAAAGGAAACGTTTAGACAACTGTCGAAACCATATCGTAAAGATAAGTGTGATCGCCGTTGATATTTTGTCGTTTAGGGTGGGAAAGATGAAGCGAGCGTCTTGGCGTGATGAGTCGCGCGGCGCTACTGGAGGTGTGAGTGTCTGTTCGCGGGAGGTAAATGCTCGGGCGATGTGCGCCGGCATACTCGCGCAGGCACTAGCAACCCCTCCCCACCAACCCTTTAGTCTCGAACTGCAGGAGCGTATGTACGATATGCTACCCTCTTCTCTTTTGCACGCAGGGGAGGATAATATAGAACACTCAGTCAACTTCTTCACAGTTTGTTTGGTGTACTCTTTTACCTTTTGCAAATGTGATTGCACCGCAGTCGTGTTGAAGTTTTTGACCAGGTGTTAACTAAATTTATACATTATTTTGTTCCGTTCATTTTATTTTGTCGTTTATGACAAAAAATCTTTGTAATTCATCATTTCTGTTCACACATAATGCAACGGTGTTACAGGTACTCTATATTATTGTTAATATAAGTAATGAAATGCCAGTGTAAATAGAAAAAGTAATCTAGTTAATTTGTGTATTGTGCAATTAAATTTATCTTGCAAGGCAATTTTTTCAATTTTTTCAAATCGATTTTACTATATTCCAAGTGTTTAAAATTAAAAATGTCTAACTATTCCACTTTCGATATTCAAATATGAATATATCTCACTTAATTTTTGGTGGTATTTTTATTTTTGTAACAAAAATATTTGAATTATTTTCATGACTGCACTGGTAAGTTATTCACGTATTTATCTGCCTAAACTAAAAGTATTTGGTATCTTAGCTCCCTCATAAGTTTAATGAAGAAAAAAAAATAAATTTCTACTTCCAACAACAAAGTCAAAGACTACAATCTTTTATCTTATGCTATTGGACGTTCTTTTGTCTCCTTGAATTTACTTTTTATTTGCCCTCTCGTTACTTTCTTCATTTTAACTGGACTAGGAAAGGCAAAAAGAAATGAGGAACAGGCGGGTGAGAGAAGGAAAAATGAACTCCAATCCCTGGAGATGTGCCGAACACAGTCGGAATATCCTTTAGGTTTTTTAGATTTTCCTTTCCTTATTTTTACATTTTTCCCATGTTCATATCTTTTCCAAGAACTTATTTTCCTATTCAGTTATTTCAATTTTGGCACTATTATGCTTGTAATAATTTAAGTACATGAATAATTTGAATGTAATTGCTCAAGTCTCACTGAATTTTCATCGATTTTAGTCATGTTAATTGACAATACGAAATTCCAATGAAAATGGAAAAAACACAAACGTCAGTATGAAGTGAATCGTTACGAAATAATATTCATGTATTTTACAAAATACATTTACTCAATTAAATGTATTATTTATCTGGAGTAAAAAAAGAATCTATTAATTGATTAATCTATTAACAGCAATCTATTAATTGAAAAAATCGAAAAAGTGACATCGAAAAGAAGTATATTAAATACTTTAAAATCCAAATTGTGAGTTTAGCTTTTAACCGGTTTAGAACCTTCATCATCTAGAGACACTTACAGGACTTCCTTTTTTACCTCGATTTTTTTTTCTCCTGTTCCCTCTCGACTTTTCCTCGCGTGCTTTTATCATTCCCCTCCTATCTACTTTTGCGTGGTTTCCCTCATACGACGATCCTCTCTTTTTTTACCCCTTCGTGCGACGCAATTTTCGGTTTACCTGCCTACAGCATCGCGGCATTAAATCGAAAGAGAAGCACCTTGAAATTGGCGCGCTCGCGCGTTGTAATCTAGCGAATTTCGTGAAAGGTAAATTACGTCACTAACAGACCGTTAAATCCTGTAATAGGCTCTTCAAAAGCCGTTTTGGTATTTTCAAGCTAATGGATTATATTTTTGAGAAAATTAAAATGTAGGAAGTCGGGAAATATTTAAATGTATCGACGACTTTTTGTAATCGGATATTATCGAAAAGCTGTACGTATCGAGGATTATTGACTTTGGCTTGTGGTAAAGGAATTAAAAATTTCATCTTTGTTGAATCGATAATTTTATTTTATTATTAACTCTGCGAATTGTATTGAAATTCTTGTTTTTCGTTTATAAATAACTATTAACTTAAAAAAAAAAATTTTTTACAATCAAAAAACCATTTAAACTGAAAAGTTTGCAATTCTCTTCTTGCATGGAAATTTTACGTCCAGCATGGGTGAAAGGAAAAATATGCTGAATAATAATGGCGTTCAGGACAATTTGTTGGTTTTAAGCTCTCCAGATTTTTGGGGAGGCAAGATAGCGAATCATTATATACAATACTCTTGAGAATGAACTTTTGAAACACCTGAAAAGGGAAAAAATATAGAAAACCAATAAATCTCACGTGCAACAACTCTGGTTAATTCCATTTATAGTGTGGCGTGTAAAAATCATAATATCTATTGTGAAGCTAGAAAAATATTCTTTCCTAATTGCGTTACATGCGTCTAACGAATTGTATAATAAAATTATATAAAGCACGTTAATTTCTACTGTTTGCCCTAAGAAAAGAAAAAAAATCAATACTCCAATGCACTTTCTACTGTAGCAAAAGTGAAATATTATAACGTACGCGTCTACATCGCGTATAGCGCTAAAAAGAGCATTGTACAGAACGGATGCAAGATTCCAATTTAAATTACCGCGTTGGCGCGACTTAACATGCCTCGTATTAATAAGTGTATGTATGCTCGTAAACACTTTTCGCTCGCGATTGCAGCTATAGAGTTTGAATATAAATAACACGGAGCGCACGTGCGCGAAATATTCGTCGCTCGTTTGAGGTCGGCCACACGGTAATGCAATCCGAGTGCAATTCGTCGGAGAGCTGCTCTCCATCTGTCTGTAGTAAGGGAAATGCATACGTACAACTAGCCGCCGACGCCAACTTGGAGAGGGATGAGGTGTACGTATAGTGGAACGCGGAAAGGACATGCCGAGGGCAAGCAACGGAAATGTGGTGTATGCGAGTGTGCTCGGAATATTACTGAAATAAATGCGACTGTTAACGGTGCACTTATGCGATTCACTGCACCGCGCTGAGGGAATTGGTTATTTTGATGAATATTAACCTTATAACTTAGCGATACAGTTGGATAGTTTGTTGCTGAATTTCAATGCGGTTCCCTCTGTCCGAAGTACTTTTCGAATTCGAATTGTTTGGGGAACGAATTCAAGTCTAGTTTAAACTCTATCGCATACATTTTTTATATTGAACGTTGCCGCGTTATAATATTGTATAGTCAATAAAGCCGAGCTCATAACTTGCTTAGTCTGTTTATAACTCCTGTGTGATAAAAAGAGTAGGTGATTCTGAGATGGATAATGTAATGATAAAATATGGATACTGAAAAAAAGTGCAATTTAATTAATGTATGATACATTTTCTAGTAAAATATCTTTGACCCAGACAAAGTAATGCAATTACCGGTCTACCGTGCTCATACACATTAAATATTGTCTGATAAGCAATAAATGACACTTCTGGCTGTCGGGGGTATGACAAAGATATCGTACTCAATTAAACAATTCCGTTTCGAGCGTGTAGCGAAAGATTCTTTCGTCTGACCGCTCACTCCAATTAATTGATCTTGGAGTGGCTTTGGACTTAATCACTGCATGACAGCGTGCAGACATCGTCGCTCTCTTTCCGAAACAATTGTTAAACAAAGCTATACCCTCTCGCAGCAGTAGGATCCAGCAGATTTCCATTCAAAAATTCAGATGCATCAGATCTCCCTGTCGCGCGCGCGCGCGCATGCAATGCATAATAGAAGCCGACATGTCGTTTCCCGGCGAAAACCGAAAAGAGGGCAGCAGCAGTAGTGGCAGCAGCAGCAGAGTTGCAGCATTTGGAGACGAGATGCAGTCCGCGTTTATGTATTTGCAGAGCGAGCGGGCCAAGCAGCCAGCGGTAGTGGCGAGTGTTTGCCGGTTGAATATTTGTGTTGGTTGGCCAACTGGGTTGCCGCTGGTGCGTCGCATGAGCGCACTTGCATTATGCATACGGAAAAGCGAAAAAGAGCGCGCTAAGGGAAAGCGCGCGAAAGGTGGTGGCTTGCGCGGCCTTGAGCGCTTGCATTATGCACTGGCCTCTAGCAACTCTACTCGAGAGGGAAACGTTCGAGTGCGCGCGTGCGGGTGCATGTGTGTTTGCTCTCTCTCTCTCTCTCTCTCTCTCTCTCTCTCTCTCTCTTTCTCTCGCGTAATTACGGCAAGGGGGAGTCGGAGCTCGGCGGAGCAGCAGTCGCGTGACACCCGCCTCCCGCACGCGAATTATTTGTTTGTTTTATTAATAATGCAACGGATATATACGTTTCACGAAACTCTGCAGTTTAAAGGGTGTATGTGCACACGCGGCGCTTTTGACTGCCACTGGTTTGCTCGCTTGCTTTGCGGTTTTTCCACATCTGACTGCTACTCTTTAGTTTCAATGGAGAATGGGGGAACCTTGAAAATTACTTTGTGTCGCTGCTTTATGGGAATGCTGCGCGAGCATTTTACCACATGACCGATGTATGAATTCATTGAGTGCTGGCTTCCGTTTGAGTGGCGTGAGTTATTTAGCAGGACAATTATTAGTTACTCCAAAGAAAACGAGTCGTTATTCTCTGCTACAGTAAAGCTTCAAATTAGCGAGACGTGGACGGTCATTTGTGGCACAAACGCAAAATGCCATGAAATGTTATTTATCAACGACAAAAGCAAACAACAATGAAAATCTCGAATGTCGTTGCTCTGCTAACGTTTGCTCTGCTAAAATGTTCGAATGCTTATCCATTCGTAAAACTTGATTGAAAATAAATATAATGACGAAATCCGTGATTGCTTGCAATGAAGAAACCGCCCATCCTGCAATTGCTACCAGCGTGTAGAAGACCTAATCAATTTTTCGCACTATGATTGTATGCCGTCTCTTTTGCCAACGACGACGGATGCGATAACGTAAAAAAAGGAAGTGCGAATGATTATATAAAAAAAATGAAGCCACGCGCATCTCCAAGTATTCAAGGAAAGGAAAAAAGAAACGAATTCAACGATAGCAGTCTGCAACAAGCAATTAAACTATCCACAGCACCCGCGAAGAAAAAAAGAAAGAAGGAAACGGGTCTAATAATTTCGCGTAAGTATCTAATTACATTAATAACATTATTAAACTCTAATAACCTTCATAATTCTACTCTTCCACGTGGCTTAAATTAACCGCTTTATTACCAGTTCGCGATATATCCGCCGTATTTTATAATGCGCGTATTCCAATAAACACGAGCATTAACGTTCTCTCTCTTGCGCGCCACGCACGCTTGAACTTTCTCTCGTGGCACGAGAGGGAAATATTACAAATGAACCGACGCGTCGCATCTTTAACGCTGCGGTTTACCGGCTTTTTCGACGAGCGCTTGCCGATTATTTTCACGTGTAATCGCCAGATTAAGAATGTCATTTTTTCAAGTTTTCCAGTTTTGCAAAAAGGAGAGTTGCAAAACACCTTTCCTACGTACATTATTAAAGTTAGAGCTGGAAGCCAATGCTCAATTACCATCGCAACTCAATTGCAACATTTATTTCGCAGTTACAGAAAGTTACTTTCATGATGACGAGGTTAAACCAAATGTTGATCTTGCTGGTAGTATTCTTCGCAAAGGCGGAAATGAGGAAGCTTGGAAAACATAATTTCACAAGTGAATGGATGGTTGCTGTGAAAGACTCGCTGCATCCGCCTCTGGTCACGGAAATGAAAGATCTTTTGGTGTACGTGTCATTTCCCTCTGACTTCTCAATAAGACTGGAAACTTCGAAAATCATAAACAAACCGTGCCAAGTGCCGTCGCGAGTGATGAGAGAACACGGAGGTAGAAACATCACGCCGATATACGCGGAGACATTGGGAAACGGCAAAGTCATTGTGTCGCTGATGGGATCGAAGAAAAGAGGCAATCACACGAATATCTGGCTGTACGTAATCGACCCAGTGAACTGCACCTACGGCGTCGACAAATTCAAACTTGATCCACCGAGAACTTTGTCCAGAGATGTCATGACCATCGTTCCTTACTACGACACTTTTGATATTTTTTTGAAAAGCGATATACACTGCGAGATTGGTAGTATATGCACTCTGAGTTACGACGATAAGCCAACGTTGATCGAGTCGAGAAGATCGGTCATTCCGTACGAGGATGAAGGATGGGATATTACGTCTATGAACGCTTTCGATCCGAACGAGGGTGAGTTTATTCCAATTCTGTTGAGCTCACTGGTGTGTGGATCGGCTAAATTGTTTTGTTTTCAGGCTACTTTTACATAGTAATGATGTCACAGACGAACACGACAGTACTAAAACGGCTGGACACGAATTTCAGCATTTTGCAAAAAGCCGAACTGAACCAGTCAGGTAGCGTAGCGTACTGGTACGACGAAGACGGCAGCGCAAGCCTGTGCTTTGGAGTGTCAGATCAGGAAATCGAATGTCTATTACTCGACTCAGACATGAAGATCAAGGCGGAAACGACGCTGTTCTACGACATGTATGTCTCGTACTATTCGATATTCCGTCTGAGAAGTGGCGACGCCATTGTTCTGACTATCCTAAGTACTGATCCCGAGTCGGCTTCGGATTCCGCCACGTACGTGCAGTTGATCGATGTCAAAGCCAAAGCTACCGCCAGCCAACCCATCAAGTTTCAGGAATACATTTGTGAAAACGTCTTCGAGATGAATACTTTCGAATTGAAGGACAGATTGGTTTGTGCCAGCACCGTTTGCAGGAGTGTCGTCAATACTAAATGCATCGCGCCGGAGGACGAGCGAGAATTCTAGGAGTCCCGACTTTGTAACATATTTTTAAATAAACTTTTATTTCGGACGACCGCGACCCAATTGTTTCTAAGCAGGCCAGCGTCGAGATTAATTCCGCAGCGCGCACATACGCAAAAAACAATGAGTTAGCTTATCTAAAATGAGAGGGAGGTAGATTGCAATTTCGTGAAATACACGCGGTGTACAGCGAAACTGCAGCTAAATTGGCCGATAATATCTCGAGAACGATGCATTATCCTGGGCAATCTCGTGTGCTCTGTTTGTCACGATGGACTTTTTAATTCGGCGAACGTTTGTTTTTTCTTTCCTTACGTATTACGTACGAGGGCGCGCGCGCGCGCTCGAGATATGGCCGTTTAAGCGCGCAAGTTTGCGCGTAACCGAGCCGGTGGCATCGTTCCAGCCGCGGAGCTTCGCATGGACAAACATTTTCAGGGAGCCGAAAGGCTATACGAAATGGATGTTTGGCAAGTTAGCGCGGGGGGGGGGGGGGGAGAGGGCAATACGTTTTTGCATATTATTACGCCGAGGGGAGAAAGAGAGAGAGAAGCAAGTCCATTTTCGGCGCAATTACATCGTCTTTTGCGGCCTACGGAATAAGAAACCAACAGCTGAGAGCAGGGGGGAGACAAACTGGCGCGCGCGGCCGGATGAACTTTATTATGCCCGAGCTAACTTTCCAGAAATTCGTTTGAAGAATGGTCGCATTTCAAGAAACCCATTTGAAATATCGCGAGCTAGTGGCCGCGCGGTTATTAAAGAAAATGAGAGCACGAATTCATTTGCGGAATTTCCGCACAAATCAGCAATGAGCATCTCTCGACTGATTTATCGCTTCTCTCTGCTGCATGCAGATGGCATGAATTTTTCGGTAAATTTCTTTTGCATTCTGCTGTAATCGTCGCGCGATTTAATTACTCGATGGCATTTTTCACTTTCGATGTTGATTACAGGAATATGAGCTAGCGTTCGAAGATCGCTCCATTATATCGTGGCTTGAAATCAATAATTTAGCAATCCAGCAATGAATTTCTTTAGTCTCTGTTCTTAACTGGTCAGTTTATGGTAGAAACCGGCCTATTATGATTAGAAACTGGTGAAATTCAAGTGAATCCCTCTTGTGGACAACCTGTGAGATATTTACAGTTGACATTTACTAATGCCATTTAATAATATTTCTTAAAATTTCTAATATTAGAGCACACTATTAATGATGCACGTCGTTGCAGTAACAATGTCATCGAATTGTCGTAGAGAACAAAAACATTCTAGTAAATAAGCCAACATTAGATTACCGTGACGGTATAGATAGAGAAAAAAGGTACAGCAATAAAACAAGATATTTCTCTACACGCGATTGAGGATGAGAAAACGAGGGAGATAGCGGAAGTAAGTGACTGTTGCCGCTCGCGTAGAGAGAGATTGAGTGTGGGCCATCGACTACGAAGAAATCGTCCGCATCTCGGAGGCTCCATAATGGAATTACACGATGCTATAGCAAATCGAGAAATAGCTCCCATTGTTTTACGCGAGGGAGGTAGCAAAGTACAGTGATTTTTCGTTGAACGCATGCTCGCATCAAGAATTATGGCAACGGGTGCTGTATATGACCGAAAGACACGAAGATCTCCATTATCGTGAAAAAAAATCAACGAGAGCGATTGATTTTCACGTGCCTGACGAGACGGGGAGAAAAAAAATTTTTTTTCTGACGTAAAACTACTACGCCTGCGGATAGTAGGTCAGCAAAGTAAGGTGATAGCGCCAGTGAAAAAAGAAAACCAATAAAGATGAGCTTGAGATATTGTGGCGGACACAATAGGCGAAAGCCCCACTTTTCTTGCAAGCTTTGCTACATACACACAGACGTACAAGCCCCTTCGCAGCGGAAAGTTGCAGCGATAGTCACGATCTACCTCAGAGATATTCGAATATGTACTATGCATCGTGGTAGCTTGCCAGCGAGAAGATATTCGCTAGTTTACACTGGGGAGAGGGAGAGAGAGAGAGAGAGATTGAATCGGCGCTTTCACCTGATTTACAAACTTCGCCTACTGCATATTACACTGTCCCGCCAAGGATATAGCCTAAGGGTGGCAAATGTCGTACTACTGTTTTCGACGAATTGCGGCTAGACGTCGTACGACGATACTAAAACAGATCCAATTTTCTCGGAATATGCCCACTCTGGCTTCCCGAGTTTAACCGCTGTCGCGTGACGGATGCGAACGTTAGCACCCAATTTTAAAGATGTGCTGTTTATCGGACATACTGCTGTATGCTGCAGACGTTGTGAATCTCGCGGAAACGACTGTTTGAAGCTACTTTTTCATTTAAAAATAATGAATTTCTTCTTCAACGGAACGAATTCTTTCGCGAGGCTATTTTAGAGCTATTAGAACCACTGTAAACTGCGAGATACTCGAGCTAACTGCGTTCTTTGAAGACTTTTCGCTGGTAGGCTGCGGCATTCGCCCGAAAGGCTCGGCTCAACATCCTTCACCCTTGGACGTAAATATCTGTGAGGGAAGAACATTGCCGAGTGCTCTCGCGCGTGAAAAGAAACGCCTCGGACCATCGACCGAAACTTGTGTATACTCCACTGCTCCGTCGATGAACTGCCAACGGAAGCTTTATTTTTCTCCGTGTACACTGTTGTTCACACTCTCACACGCGCCCGAGTTTTTCATTTAGACAAGAGTTGAACGGGGAGGAACAAAAAAATGTTACGTTTCTAATGGCCGAGAAAGGCGCCCCTTTCTTTTTTTTTTTTTTTTTTTCTTTTCTTTCCTTACACAGCTCTGCTCTGTTTTAGAGAGCGAAAAGGCATTGCCAATGGTAAACGATTTTCGTTTTAATGGCACGTGCAGCGCGCAAAACGAAAGCCCGTCTGCCGCCAGAGAGTGAAAAATGAATTCAGCTCCGGGCTCGTAAAGAAGCTAATGCTTCTATTCGGTGACCGTATTTTACTTGCGCGAGACGCCAGTGTTTTTAAAAGAGCTCTCCGATATATCGAGGATAACGTATATTTTCAGTGAATTTTAGCTTCTTTTTTTCATCGTTTTGGGTGGCGCGGCCACGGAAATGTACGGCGAGCCATCCGTTCCAGGATAAATTCTTTAAATTATTTTATAGGTGACAGTGGTTAAGGAATATGTCAAGTAACGGAGGTTTATAATTTTTATCGGAAGAACGTATGCTAATATTTTTCGAAATACCATCCGGAGAGATTTTTATTTCCTTTGAACGGTGACTGCTTAACAATTTTCCTTTTCGGTCATATTTTTTTGTTTTGAAACCATCATTATACTACATTTATATCAATTTCATGAAAATTCATACAAAATTTGCGTAAAATGTAATTTAAATGTAGTTTACTATTCATATTGATCTGAATAGCTATTGTAAAAAAAAAACATACTCTTTGTATTTAGTCCCTCTTGTTGCTGCATGTTGTTCGAAAAATAATATTAAAGCTGTAGCACTTTACTCTAATCGATTTGTACTTAGACCCGTATAGGTTCCTAGAAAAAATAAAAATACACGCAAATGCAAATGGTTTTCCATAAAAAATACACTTACCTTAATTAAATCTTCGATTCCTTAACCTACGATTCTTTACTTTACTGCTTTCAAACTTTAGCTTCACCGAAAATTTAGTCTTTCGGAAAATTTACGTTATTTTACAGACATGTTATTTTACATATGTGAAGAAATTTTATATTACTTTACCGACTGAAAAAATTCGTTATTAATATTTAAACTCGCGATAGAATATTGTATTTACGCATATATAATCGGATGCTCATGCTTCAAACCGCCGGTAATAAATAATAAACAAATCAATAAATAAACAAAGAAATTTTTACCCTAACCTTATTTTATCATTATATCAAGTTTAACTGGCCATTGCAAGTATGTTTTCAAGTTTTCCTGTGTATAAAGCTCTACAAAGCTCTACGAAAGAATCTACAAAGGAAATAATAATTTTTAATAAATGATCACAAACAATCTGGGATGAACAACATGAGCAAATATGACGGGAAACTATCTCAAGAGCTTGCATTTTTATTTTTAACTGAAGATGAGAAATTCAATGTTGTTTAAATTTCAAGCGTTGATAAATCCAAACAAGAAAATAAAAGTGATTTTGTGAAAAGTTGCTAAATTCAATACGAGCGATATACAGGAAGTATGTCGTCATCTACCTCGTTGTGTATATGGTAGTCTAGTGAGCGAAAGTAGTAATAAATCTGTATAGTCATCATTTAGGGAAGAGAATGAAAGTGATGAAAAAATGCAAAAAAGTTGTTTAAAGATATCAGCGCCTCAATGTATTGATAAATGTAGTATTGAAGTATTAAAAATAATAGAATTTCAAAGACATAGAATGAAATAATATAAATGGTGAAAGCGAAAATTACTCGTCAAATCTCGCCACGCTCAAAAGTGTCTGAAACACTTCGACAGTATAATATAGCTGCTAGTCCGACAACCAAGGCAAATTCATCGAAATTTCTCGAAACAAAATAGATCGATTATAAGAGGTTATACTTCCAATAAGATATGAGTCTAGATCGAGACTATGTTATTATTGTTATCCAACAGAGCAAAAAATATTTTATAACAGTAATAAGCTACCAGAGTTGGAAGAAGGTGATATAGGGGAATTGAAAGATTTGTAAGTTTTTAAGTCATTTTATCAAATATAGAAAATACATCCACTGGTTGAAACACATATTTCTAACGTGCTATTTTTACAAGGAATAGTGTTAGACTGAAAGAAAATTATAGATTTCTTTTTTCATTAACATTTATTTTATTGAGAAAAGCAATCATGATTGTAACGTAAACTTGTGAATTGATAAAGTGAATTATTTTAAAAATCGTGCATCCAATTGGTCAAATATATATGTTACTGATAAATGCAATTTGAATAATTATAATTTTGATAAATAAAATCTCTATGTACAGGTTTTCATGATTTATAACGAATTATA